CATTTTTAATTTTTTCGTAAAAGTTTTCCTTATTCTCTTGTGCTTCTTTTGAGATTATTTAAAATGAATTTAGAAATATTTTCCTGGATAATCGCGGGGGAAAAAATGAAATTATTTATAAGCTTTCGAAATATTTCAACTCCTCTAATTTGTTAAAATTTAAGATGAGCCGGGAGGACGGATTAAAAAGATGGAGGAGAAAATATTCGCCTCAGGAGATAAAGGGTCTCTTTTAGTACATTCGTAATAGTCCAGATAAGGTGATATATACTTTTAAAGCATTTTAGTTTCAACTTCAAAGTTTTTTAATTCTTTAGGGATCAATAAGTTTAAGTAAATTATACAATCGCTTATTTTTGAAATAGGAAGATGATAATTTTTCTTTAATCTGCCACAAAAAAGTAACGCGGAGCTTTTTATTTGAACGTAAAATAAAAATTAATTGTCCGTCTAAAAGCCAGGCAGTTCGAAAGGGGGAGGGAAACTCATATTTTAAAAACGAGAATTATTGGATTTTTAAACAAATTTTAATGCTTCAAAAATTTATTTATATATGCGTTAATTATTTAGTGTAAAGCAAATTTAGCTCAATGAACATTTTCCCCCCAGATTTTTATTCTCTCTGTACTAGTTTTAATCTTTTAAATATGCTATCAATATTTTTATTTGGAAAGCGGTCGAAATTTTGATCCGAATTTTGATTTAGTAGGCCTTGGCTCACATTTATAAATCTCGTTTATTCAAAGTTTTCACGCAGAAAACAATTTTTAATAGAGTGCTTTTAACTTTCACATTTATTTAAATCATTTTAAGAGGCGAAATCCAAAGTCCGACCAAAATCCATTAATGAGCAATAAAGGGTTGAAAAAAGCGTCCTATTTTAAATATTCAGTTCTTCTAAATCAGTGTTCNAATTATTTATAAGCTTTCGAAATATTTCAACTCCTCTAATTTGTTAAAATTTAAGATGAGCCGGGAGGACGGATTAAAAAGATGGAGGAGAAAATATTCGCCTCAGGAGATAAAGGGTCTCTTTTAATACATTCCTAATAGTCCTGATAAGGTGATATATATTTTTAAAGGATTTTAGTTTCAACTTCAAAGTTTTTTAATTCTTCAGGGATCAATACGTTTAAGTAAATTATGCTATCTCTTATTTTGGAAATAGACTGATGATAATTTTTCTTTAATCTGCCACAAAAAAGGAAAGCAGGGCTTTTTATTTGAACGCAAAATAAAAATTAGATGTCCGTCTAAAAGTCAGGCAGTTCGGAAAGGGGAGAGAAACTCAAACTTTAAATTATTGGATTTTCAAACACATTTTAATGCTTCAAGAATTAATTTATATGTGCGTTAATTATTTAGTCTAAAGCAAATTTAGCTGAATGAACACTTTTTTCACCAATTTTTTTATTCTCTATGTATATTTTCTGTATGTATATATTTTTTGAAATCGGTCGAAATTTTGATCCCATTGGACTCGCTTCTATGTTCACAGCATAACGTGCTTAGTAGACTTTGGCTCACAGTTATATAACTCGCTTATTCAAAGTTAATTTCACGCAGAAAACAATTTTTAACAGAGTGCTTTGAACTTTTACATTTATTTAAATCATTTTAAGAGGCGAAATCCAAAGTCCGATGAAAACTCATTAATGAGCAATAAAAGATTGAAAAAAAGCTTTGAATTTTAAATATTCAGATCTTCTAAACAATTTGACAGCTCGCCTTCCAATGAAGTGTCCCCGGGTTCGAATCTCAGCGTTGGCTGGTCGATACGAAATCCGCACCCGGCTCGCACCGACCACAGTGCTGACGTAATATATCCTCAGTAGTAGACGGATTGTGGTTAGAGTTCCCTTGCCATCGGACTAACTGTGGGATATTTTCCTCTCCATGTAACGCAAATGTGGGTTAGTTTCATCAAAAAGTCCTCCACGAAAGCAAATTTCTCCCCAATACTTGATCCAGGAGTTTCCTTGTCTTCTGGATTGGGTTCAAAATTAGAAGGCTACGGAGTTGAACATCAGTAGTCGTAAACCAAAATTGGGAAGGCTGTTCAACGACGGTTATAAAATAAAACAATTCGACAATTTGGAAGTTAAAGAGTGCATTAACCAATATTTCAGATCATTTTTAAATTAAATAATTATTAACGACCATTCTTTTTATGGAATAATTTTTGGACAAACGAGTTTTAAAACTGTTTGACTAAATACAGTTCGATATATGACGAAATGCACTAAAGAATGAGATTAACTTTCAAGACACTTTCACCTTGAAATTAACAGAAAGAAACTTTAGACCGCTCTTATGACTAAGCTATTAGGACTATATTTTCCAAAAAAACTCAAAGAATTTAAGGTCAAGAATCCGTATCTTACGTTTAATTCCGGTGCTTTAAATATTATCAGAACTAATTTATAAGGATATTTTAAAGCCTATCTCTCAAGACACTCGATAAGAATTTTACAATAAGCAACGATTTAACCATTATTTTCAGTCACCGCAACAAAACAAATCGCTAAATAAAACAGGACAGAAATGAATATTTATAGTATAAACAGCATATACGTATATATATAACGTCGCTGCCGAGTGGAAGGATTAAAACAGGTCTTAGGTCGGGAAGGAGGGTACAAAATTTATTTATTAATTATTAGACAGTGCAGTTATGAGAAAAGTGTGAAAGTGCACACGAAAAGTTGCGCTCCTTGGTTATATGTTAGGGAAAATCTTGCAAAGTAAAATCCGTAAANGAATTTCGTTCCGGTTTTTTGGTTTCCGGTTTTCTGATTTCCGGATAACGGGTTCCGTACTGTAGTATAAACAGCATATACGTATAGATATATATCACTCCGTACAATTCACGAAGTTAAATTTTATTATTATTTTCTTTAAATATAGTTACTTTCCTTTAATTGTAGTTAATAATGCGAAATAACATGCATGCAAAGATCTATAGGCATTTTTTTAAATGTATTATTATGAATCTGAATTTTAAATATCGTCTTATCTCATTTTTGGAACAAGTCAGTTTTTTGTGTCGGCAAGTTTTAAATTGTACAAAAAATATTTTAAACTTTTATAATTGGTATTTGTAAAGTAGAGAAAGCATAGAGAGGGAATCTTAAATAACCGAATTTTAAAATCTTTCTAGTAGTGAGTGCCATTATTGCAAAATTTAGTTCATTTTCATATAATTAATGGGTGAGATACCTTTATAAATTTTTTTAAAGGTGTTAATTTTTGTATTTTGTATATTATTAGTCGTAGTAAAGCAATTGGCAATTCTTCTTATAATCCAGTAATTTGACACGATATTCATTCTTGTTATTCATATAAAAATATAACAAAAAAATAAAATAAAATAAATAAATAAAAATAAAAACAGCTCAATTGTTATATATTTTATTTTGAAAAAACAAATATATATAATTCAATTTTTGTAGATATAATAAATTTCATTGACAATTTTTGGTTGAAGGTTTTCCATTCATGTTTGCAACATCAATATATCAACATTTTGTTTTAATAATAGTCATTACACAAAGCTGCATTAAAATAAATAAATAAATATGGTTTAAATTATGTAAAATAGAATAAACTAATGACTAGTTTAATTCAAGAAATAGAATAAACCAATGACTAGTTAATTGCAATAAATTAAACTTTTAGTAATCGAAAAATCCTTGATAAAAAGTTTAATTTATTGCTATTGAGAATAGGGTTCATTGCAATAAATTAAACTTTTAGTAATCGAAAAATCTATGATAAAAAGTTTAATTTATTGCTATTGAGCATTAGGTAAAAAGTGACTCTTAAATTAAAAAATAGTGATAATTTCCATTGCTTATAATTATTTTAAATCAACAAGGTTTATGATCAAAACTAGTGTCCCCTATTTTTTGGCGATACTTGGTTAACTTTTTTTGAAATTTTATTTTTTTGAGTCTATAATTTCAAATTAAAATTTTGTTTTCTCCAGGGAAATTTCCTTGAAAAATGTGTAACAATACAATAAAATACAATAAAAACATATATTTTTTATAATTTCAAATTAAAATTTTGTTTTCTCCAGGGAAATTTCCTTGACAAAATGTGCAACATGTATATAATAAAAACACATATTTTTTATAATTTCAAATTGAAATTTTGTTTCCTCCAGGGAAATTTCCTTGAATAATGTGTAACATATAAATAATAAAAACATATATTTTTGCCTGCTTGCATATTTTTACATTCATGATGTTATAGATTACGATTTTAGAAGTGACGAGTGTAAATAATTAATGACTTAATATCTGCCTATAATAAAAATAGAGGTAGAATCATTATTATCAAGAGATTGCCAACCCCCCCTCAAAAAAAAATAAAAACTTCGATTTTCAATTGTTTAACGGTAAAGGCATTCGATGCCATGCAGTCCTAAATTTTCATTTATACGTTTAACTAACGGGTTACTAAAAATTATTTTCATCAGTCTAATTTAGTGTAAGGTATGAGCACAAATTAATTTCTTGTTTTGCGTTTACGTCACTGGACAAATTACACGTTTCAGATCAAGTTTGTGTGTAGAGTTAGAGACCAAAAAAAAAAAAAACAAACAAAANTTAAAAAAAAAAAAAAAAAAAAAAAAAACTCTATTTTTGTTTTATATTAGTAAATTGAAAATAGTCGTTTGCTAGTTCATTTTTTTTTTCGAAAACGTATAGTTGTAACTCTTCGATTTATAGAAAAATGATCACAAATATTTCAAGCGGCATTTTTAATACACTCTATTTGTTTGTTATCTTAATATTTCAATTATGGATGATAAGTGTTACTCAATCGCGTCTGTATACAAGAGCAACCAATGTGCCAAGAGGTTAGAAATTAAAATACTTCTCATAATTAGCTGTGTTTTAAAGCCCAATAGAGAAAAAACTGTAAAACTAAACGCATCCTAATTTGCAAGTAGATACTATTTAAATTCAGACCATAGGAATTTGTTTTAAAAAAAACGTCTATTTTACCCCGAAAAATTGTCTTACAGTTCCATTTTGATCCCTAGTGACACAAAGCAAAATTATTTTTCAATCGTTACAAAATTAAATTCCCATGGAAATATGCAGGTTGAAATTTTTTCAGTAGTTTTCTCTCTACCTTAATTATAGCCGTTATTTCGACTTTAAAAAAAATTAATCTGAGTATTTTTGTCCTAATTAGTTTCTAATGGTTTCATTCACAAAATTTAGGTTCTTTTTTTACATAATTACATGGTCATTGGTTGTTCTTGCATGGATTTAATTAATTCACAATACAAAATGTCACGTGACTATAGCTTGCGCTTTCTTCTTGTTCTTTTGGATTCTTTCAGATCTAGTTCGTTTTCTATCACTTGATTTACTATCACGTGGTCTGAAGATCCCGGTGATTCCCCCCACTGTCTTTTTTGATTACTTTTCGAAGAGTTAACTTCCGGTGAAGATTCGTCTACTTCCGGGACAGAGTCATTTGGTTCATCGGTGGTCGGTAAGATATAGATCTCTTCCGGATCCGAAACATCATTTATAGGAGTGATAGATACAGGACAGTCGCTCTTATATTGGCAAGTACAAAAAGGGGTGAAGTTTGAAGATCCTGTTGTATTCAGCAAACAGTCTGGATCGTGAACTGTCTTCAACTCGGTGGAACTTCTCCCATGTGCGGTGACAACCTTTTTGGAATTGTGAACACTTGGGGTGGCAGATTTGACAACTTTTGCAACAAAATCGGAGTCGCAAACACTAGAGGCGTTGGGTTTATCAGCATTTCCGATACAGTTGTTATCGTAAATGCTAGATTTATCTATATCTGCAATAGTCTTTGCGGTTTCAGCATTTGCAAAACCAGATTCGAAAACTTCTGCAATAAATTTATTTCTAGGTTTAAGGTCATCACAAAATTCATTCATACCAAATCCTGCACCATGTGGATTCTTTAACGAGAATGACCTATGTCTGTGCAGAAAACCTCTGAGCCAATCGTAACTCGCGCATTTCGTTGCGTACCAATTGTCTGGCAGAATCTTTTTATGCGCTATTCCATGCTCATAAGCAAACTGTCTCGCGACTTTGGATGTCAATCCATTATGTATCTCTGCGGCCAGAGTTAAATATTCTTCTAATAGTTTTTCTTCGGCGTCTGTGAATATTTGAGCGGAAGAATAATTTGGTTTCAGTTCTATTTCTTCGTCTTTCGTGTTTCTAAATTTCTGTACGTACCTCCCGAGTGTTTTACGATCGATTCTGTGTTCTTTTGCGGCTGATCTGATGCTTTTGCCTTCCACGACCACTTGAAGTACCGCTGATTTCATTCGCTCAGGAGAAATCTGAGTTCTCTTGTTTTCGTGTTTCCAAAAAAACGGCATCTGCAAATATAAATATATATGCTTTAAATTGTAATTCAAAAATTATTTTATACACTTGTCAATGATGTAGTCGTAAATATGCATTGAAACTCAATTTGAAAATAATTTTAGGAAATTATTTACATAATAATGTTTAAGTCACAAAATGTGAATTAGAGCCCAATTCAAAAACAATTTTATGTAAAAAAAAAAAAAAAAAAAAAAAAAAAAACCTTTTAATTTTATTTAAAGAATAATAATTGTTAACATTTTCAAACGCAACGATAAACATAATAATAAATAAACTACAAAAATCTGCATTTGTATGAAATTTTGAGAACAAAAGTATTTTTACAATTGTATTTTGTTTGAAAAATACAAATTAACAATTAAATTTTAAAGAAATGCTTAACCAGGGGTTTGTCCAGACATTTTGTGAAAGGTCCGTTTTTTCGTGAAATTGTGAAAAAATCACTCACATTCTTTCAAGCAGGGTTCGCTTTTATGAATTTGTGCAAATAGGGTCCGGTTATTGCAAAAAACTTTTTCAAGGAGTTTTTAAATTCTAAATAGATACAAGATTATGCTCCAAACTGTAAAATTATAATAAAAAAATTTAAATTTTCAAAAATAAACAGCAATTGCTGCTTCTAAATTAGAGATGCAACATGCAAATATTTGGTATTTAGCCTATACTGCTGAACGCAGAATCTTCATTTCGGACGAATGATGGAAGAATCGTCTGCCGAAGACAAAACTAAATTCGTTTACATCCATCTTTCTTGTTTTCTGCCCTGGGAAGGGTTTATTCGATTAACAAAACAATAATGAAGATAAACAAATTTGTGAAGGGTCCGATTAAAAGAAAAATCATTCTGTGAAGGGTCCGTTTCTAAGTTAAAATATATTTTGTGAAGGGTCCGTTTTTATGAAAAGATATTTTGTGAAGGGTCCGTTAAAGGACCCAAATTTCTTCTAAACAGATCCCTGTTAACTCATGTCCTGGACAGGAGATGAGTAATAAGTTTAATTAAAAGTTACTAATTAAATATTTGTTGGGACAACATGTCTAGTAAAAAAGTTTGCGATACACCTCATATTGATAAGAGTCATACAATCAATTAAAAGTAACAACTGAAAAAAGGCCTTATTATATTTGTTTGCAAAACTATATTTTTATGAATGCATGACACCAAAATATGCAAATTTATTCATACAAAATGTTCAACAAAAGAAACTCAAAACGCATGAAATTAAAATTCATAGATTAGGCAAACTCACATCAAATATGAGAATAGCATATTAATAGCCCAAGAGCATATTTTCATGCGACTACAGAGTCTTATGTATAGGCAGGGGGGTATAGTCACAATAATTATAAAAATAGCATAGTATTTATACTTCCTAAAAGATTAATACTTTATGTAACAAAAGAACTGCCGAAAAACAGCCTTGAAGTAAAGGACTGCCATTTCTTTTTAAAACAAAATTTAGAATAAAATGTTAACAATGGAGACTTAGTTAAGTAAGCAGAAATTTTAGTAACTAAAACGATTGGTTTTACTTGTTCCGGAAACTCAAAATGTTGTTACACATAAAATTTAAGTATAAATATTCACGAAAGATTGATCAATAAATACTTAATAAGCGGTTCTAAAAAAAAATCGAACCAATTCTTACAGGTACTGAAAAAAGGTTAAGAAACCCTAGCTTAAATACAAATGTGTAGAATTTTTCTTTATATTCGAGAATAGTCTCTATTCATTTAAATCTCATTGATTTAAAATAACTCCGTAATATTTCAGAAGTGATGTTTTGTTCTAAAAAACAAATATTTGAGAGGGACTACAAGCATTTGATTTTCTTCCTTTGCATGAGAAACAAATCCCGTAACATTATAATTCTGACTCCGTTACGCTTACAGAACGAGCAAGGCCAATCGTTTATTGAAGAAAAAGGTGAGGAATTAGGATTTCCTTTCTGATTAATAAATAAAAAATAAACATCGCGACTTTCGGCGTGTTTTGAAGTCCTCAAGCTCGCAATGCGTTAATTTGAAATAGCGGTTTAGTATAAAAAGCAGTTCAAGCAGTTTTCATTCATCATTCGAGCTTAAATCTAATAAACAGTTACCATCAGCTCATAAGAAGTGTTAACAGTTACTTAGTGAATTCTCAAGTGGATTTATAGACTCCTATCAACATGAAAACTTCTTTTCTCATTTACTTACATTGTCTACTTGCATGTGCAGTGTTGGCTATCAAAGATTTTAATACAACAAAAAACCATGACAGAAGTAAGCGATATGCCTTTTCCACCAATCGCCTTCCATTAAGTCCGGATTATAAGAACAAGTTTTATGATCCAGTTCACCAAGGATACCAATACAAACCAAACGCCTATGAATCAGCAAACTCTCTCCACTATGATGTTCCATCCGGATCGAACCAGTTTGTTCCTGACAAATCAACTGAGTACACTTATGGGGACGGTGGTATTTATATTCCAAAATCGTCTAAAGCCAAATCTGATTACGTGATTGAGGAAGTGGAAGTGAAAAAGGAAACAGAAGTTCCACCGAAGGCAACACCCACAGTTCTACCTGTAAAGGAGACGAAAGTTCTCACTGGAGCTGACACTCCAGCACCAGTTACACTCGTACCAATGTACCAGCCACCTACTTTTTTATCTGTAATTCGAAATGTTTTCTTCAGTCCCACATTCCTGATGACGATTCTTGCCATTCCTTTGTTTTTCCTGGGACTTATGGTTTTGCCATCCCTCTCAGATTTATTTGGAAGTTTTAACTCTTTACCAGAAATAACCACCACCTTTGCAAGCAGATTCGCCAGGAATTTGGACGGGGGAAATTTCACTCTTAGTGCCGACAGAGTTCTGGATGTTATCAACGAATATGGCGCCAGAAGCATGGAAGATCCTCGTTGCTTTCAAAGATTTTTGTGCCAAGCAGCCAAGTCTGGTATCGAAAGTCGCAGCAGTGATTCTTGGTCAGCTCATAAAGCAATACAAAAGATTGCAAAGTCTGTTGATGATCGTTTATGGGACGCCATGGGACTAAAGAACTTGTTCCATTCATTGATAGATGGGCACTGTAATTTACTAGCCTGCAATGGATCTCCAGCGTATATGGCTGGCAATATACCTTTAGTGGAAAAAATTATTCTTTTGGGTCGTAAGCTACTTCACTCTACGGAAATAACTCATTGAGTTGAATTCTTATAAATTCAATCAGTTGAATCCTTATAAACTCTATTTTAAGAACTTAGTTTTTATCACATTTATTTTTACGTTATTGATTTTATATTTGTAAATAGTACGTTATTTCTGTTGTTAGTGTGTTAGAAAATATTTGATATGAAATTTTTTAAATATTTTTGAAAAAGAAAAAGTGTTTTAAAACAACAACGTTATAGAGTAAGGAGCAAATAAATTGTAATTGTAAAACAGAAAGTCTATTTCATTTGTCTTTTTAAATAAATACATTTAGAGAAAAAGCATTTTTTAAAACGAACATTCGAAAAGAAGTCTAATAGCACTTTTGTTTAAATTAAAAGGGTAAATTTTGTCTTCATAAAATTTAATCATCAAAATAGATGCTTATGTCGTGTAATTAATTTAAATTTATTAACATCGTATACGTTTCGAATTTTTAGATATTCAGAAAAATAATAAAAAGTGAAAAATTACGTTTTTGACAAGAATTAACAGTAAATCGTCTCTGAAAATAATTCCCTTTGTTTAATTTAAGCTTACCCGCTTAACTATTAGTTTAATTATCTCCAGTTAGCGTAGTTAAGTTACTACTGATGAATGTTTCCGGAAACGCCTGAGGGAATAACAATGATAAATTATCTTTGTTTTTTTATCGCCTTTTTCTTTGTTATTAATTTCCAAGTTATTAAATTTAACGTAACTAAAATTGTGCTTCTTTTTCCCATTATATTCGTCGACATCGATGAATGTAAAGAATTATCTACGAGAGAAAAGTTTATTGCAATTCAATTAAAAGTAATTTAATTTATGTTAATATATTCTAAAAAATAGTGTTACATTTTGTTTAAACTCATATTTTAACACTGTGACATCGGTGTAACTTTTATATAGATTTTCTGACGCTATTAACCATGAGAAAAATAAATTTTGGTATTTTTTAATTGAAAAGAAAAACTGTCTAATAATTACTAAAAAAAATCTGACAGATTATCTAAATTATATTTGTTCTAAAATAGAAACATTTCAATGATGAATAACTGTTTTTCTTAGATCTAAATAGCTGCAAATTTGAAAAATTATTGTTAGGAAACCAGTCGTGGCTGGAAGATTTAATCTTTTACTCAGAAAAATACACAGGTGTTTCAGATGTATTTCATAATCATACGTTATTAAAATGTTAAATGTAATATTTCTCACTTGTTTTAACCAAAATTTATACATAGTAATATTTTAATACAAAATAATGAAAAATATTCTTCTATTGGCATGACAGCTGTTTTGTGGGCCAGGGCCTTCCCTTGTACCTTCCTTTATTCTGCTCTTTTCTTTGCGATTGTTCTCCAGTTAGTTATTCTTAGGATTTTGAAATTCTCTTCCACACAGTCCAGCCATCTAATCTTTGGCATACTAGTACATAACTCCAGTTCTCCTTGGTTTCTAACTGAGGATCTTAAATGTCAGGGAAGGAAGGTCCATTCCAGAGATGTGACTCACAAGTGACTTATTTTGATGTATTTATTGATTTCAGCTTCTCTGAATAGCCCACAATAGTTCAAAATTATGTCGTTGACTCCATAAGCCATCCACATTTAAAGCACAGAAAAGTTTTCTCAAGGTTTTTCTCTCAAAAACAGCAAGCAGGTCTGCTTGTGATTTAGTTAAAGACCATGTTTCAGATCCATAAGTTAAGTAAGACAGGTATAACGATTGTTTTATATAGCATTATTTTTGTTCGTCTTTTAATTAATTTTGAATTACGAAATGTGTTCTTAAACAGTGAAAGCATC